GTGTAGAAGAGAGGGAGACTACTTCCCGGTAAAAGTAGGTCTTAGATAGGGATGTGTAATGTCACCATGGTTATTTAATATATTTATAGATGGGGTTGTAAAAGAAGTAAATGCTAGGGTGTTCAGGAGTTGGTGGGATTAAATTATGGGGAATTAAATACAAAATGGGAAGTGACACAGTTGCTTTTTGCTGATGATACTGTGCTTATGGGAGTTTCTAAAGAAAAATTGCAAAGGTTAGTGGACGAATTTGGGAGTGTGTGTAAATTTAGAAAGTTGAAAGTGAACATAGAAGAGAGTAAGGTGATGAGGGTATTAAATGATTTAGATAAAGAAAAATTGGATGTCAAATTGGGGAGGAGGAGTATGGAAGAAGTGAATGTTTTCAGATATTTGGGAGTTGACGTGTCAGTGGATGGATTTATGAAGGATGAGGTTAATCATAGAATTGATGAGGGAAAAAAGGTGGGTGGTGCATTGAGGTATATGTGGAGACAAAAAATGTTATCTATGGAGGCAAAGAAGGGAATGTATGAAAGTATAGTAGTACCAACACTCTTATATGGGTGTGAAGCTTGGGTTGTAAATGCAGCAGCGAGGAGGCAGTTGGAGGCAGTGGAGATGTCCTGTCTAAGGGCAGTGTGTGTGGTGTAAATATTATGCAGAAAATTCGGAGTGTGGAAATTAGGAGAATGTGTGGAGTTAATAAAAGTATTAGTCAGAGGGCTGAAGAGGGGGGTTGCTGAGGTGGTTTGGTCATTTAGAGAGAATGGATCAAAGTAGAATGACATGGAGAGCGTATAAATCTGTAGGGGAAGGAAGGCGGGGTAGGGGTCGTCCTTGAAAAGGTTGAAGGGAGGGGGTAAAGGAGGTTTTGTGGGCGAGGGGCTTTGACTTCCAGCAAGCATGTGTGAGCGTGTTAGATAGTGAACGGAGACGAATGGTATTTGGAACCTGAAGAGCTGTTGAGTGTGAGCAGGGTAATATTTAGTGAAGGGATTTAGGGAAACCAGTTATTTTATATAGCCAGACTTGAGTCTTGGAAATGGGAAGTACAATGCCTGCACTTTAAAGGAGGGGTTTAGGATATAGACAGTTTGGAGGGATGTGTTGTGTATGTTTATACGTATATACAGTGGACCCTCGAGTTTTGGCAGCATCGAGTTTCGTGAAATTCGACCTTCGGCAAGTTTTTTTGGCAAAATTTGGCCTCGAGTTTCGTGATTAGACTTGTGTTTCGGCTACCGTCTGGTACCCGTCCGCCCGTCACCGCGCACACCAAGCCAGTCTCCCACACTATTCACATTCAGTGTGCCATTGTTTACCAACACGTGACCATCACCCCGCGGGTTCATACAATACATTTCATAATAATCCATTGTTTTTTGTGCTTGCAACTGCTAAATAAGTCATCATGGACTCAAGGAAATCTAGTGCAAGCCGTTTGGTAAATAAAGTGAGGAACACGATCCAGAGGGATTTTTAAGGACATGTGTGGAGCAAAGTAACATTTATGAAGGGGTTCAGGGAAACCGGCAGGCCGGACTTGAGTCCTGGAGATGGGAAGTACAGTGCCTGCACTCTGAAGGAGGGGTGTTAATGTTGCAGTTTAAAAACTGTAGTGTAAAGCACCCTTCTGGCAAGACAGTGATGGAGTGAATGATGGTGAAAGTTTTTCTTTTTCAGGCCACCCTGCCTTGGTGGGAATCGGCCAGTGTGATAATAAAAATAAAAAAAAATGTGTGGAATGTGGAATGAGTTGCAAAGTTTTGTTGAAAAGTATCACCCTGACCAAGCTGAAACAAGCCATATCTGCAGCATGTACAATGACAGTGTTGTGTCCCACTTCAGGGAAATCTTAAAGAAACGCCAGAAAAAGACCTCTCTGGACAGATATTTTGTGCGACAGGGGTCCAGTGACTCTCAAGTTGTTCCCAGCGGCATTAAAAGAAGGGAAGTAACCCCAGATAAGGACTTGCTACCTAAAGTCCTAATGGAAGGAGATTCTCCTTCCATACAATAGTGTACACCTTCCTCCTATCCCCTCCTCCCATGTTCCATCCACCCAGAAGTCTTCAGTAAAGGAAAGTGTAATGTTATTATTATTTTTTATATGTATGTTCTTGATTTCTCATTGATTTCAGTATATAAATCTTTATTTAATTTGAAAAAAAAATATTTTATTTTAATATTTTTGGGTGTGTGGAATGAATTAATTTTATTTCCATTATTTCTTATGGGGAAAATGGGTTCGAGTTTCGTGAATTTCGACTTTCGGCAGGCTCTCCGGAACGGATTAATCATGAAACTTGGGGGTCCACTGCACTTCTAAACTGTTGTATTCTGAGCACCTCTGCAAAAACAGTGATTGTGTGTGAGTGAGGTGAAAGTGTTGAATGATGATGAAAATATTTTCTTTTTGAGGATTTTCTTTCTTTTTGGGTCATCCTTCCTTGGTGGGAGATGGCCAACTTGTTAAAAAAAAAAAAAGAAAAAAATATAGTAAATTGATCATTTTGTTATACAGTGGAACCTCAAAAATCGAACTGCTCCCAACTCAACCAATTATGTAAGTGTATTTTTGTAAGTGCTTTTATAAGTGTATTTTTGAGGGTCTTAAATGGTCTAATCTAATTTACATTATTCCTGATGGGAATAAATTCGTTCGGTAGTGGCACTCGAACAGCCTTCTGGACTGAAGAAAGTTCGATATTTGAGGTTCCACTGTATTACTAACTGTAATGTTACAAAATTGTAAAACTATAATGCTTCAAATTTGAAATGTTCAAATTCATTGTTTAAAATAACTCATTTGTACTTGATATTGTAAATTGTCTACAGTAACTGTTACCATTAAATCTATTATAGCTTAAATAGTCTGAAGTTATTTTTAAGCCTGCCCATAATGCTCTGCATACAAGGTTGTACTGCATACATAGTTGTACAAGGGGCTTGTACAACTATGTATCATGTCCTAATAAAATATTATTATTATTATTTCTTGTATTCCTCTGCATAATGTACTAGCTGAATTTTGCCTTTAAGATAGGTTATTGAATCATTCTAAATAAGGGTTATTGTTCTTTTAATGCTGGTGAAGGGCTCTTGATCCAAGGAATTGGAGATATCTTTACCTTCTGCAGATGAAACAAACCTCTTAGCTTCCTATTCCCTTTATGGGTTTAGCACTTTTCTAGTTATAAATACAGTGATAATCTAAAAGTCAGATTATAATAATAATAATATTTTATTTTGACATGATACAGGTGTGTACAAAGAAATATAATACGTTTGATTTTTGAGGTTCCACTGTATCACATATTGAACATTTCGAAAATAGGACCATTTTTTTGGACAAACTGTGTCCCTGTTATCGAACGCGCCCCTATTTTCGGGCCGCCGGGTACAGGACCTGTCTGCCAGCCCGCTCTGTCCACGTCCCCGCGCAGGCGCTGTGAGCAGTCTAGCTTTGTTTATGTTTGAGTGAACACTAACCTGCGCTCTCATTCATGCATTTTACGATTATTTCGTTGTGTTTAGTGCTTGTGGGACTGTGAAATAAGCTGCCATGGGCCCAAAGAAACTTGCTAGTGGTACCCCTGTGGTAAAGAAAGTGAGAAACACCATAGATGTGAAGAAGGAAATAATACAGAAGTATGAGAGTGGTGTGAGACTTGTTGAGCTTGCCAGGATGTTTGGGAAAAACAAGTCGACCATCGGTTCTATCCTGTCAAAGAAAGAACAAATCAAGGAAGCTGATGTTGCGAAAGGTGTTAATATAGGGAGTGGATGAGGTGCCTTCTTCAAAGATTAAGGAGATTTGTGCCAAGTGGAATGATGTCCAAATGTTTGTGCAAAAGTACCACCCTGAGCAAGCTGAAACAAGCCATCTTTGCAACAAGTTCAGTGACAGAACCATGTCCCATTTTAGGGAAATGTTAAAAAGGTGCCAGAAACAGAGGACTGTGGACAGTTATTTTGTGAGACAGGGGTCCAGTGACTCTCAAGCTGGTCCTAGTGGCATTAAAAGACAGAGAAGGGAAGTAACCCCAGAGAGGGCTTTACCTGAAGTCCTCACGGAGGGGGATTCTCCTTCCAAACACTAACCCCAACTCCCTCTCTCCTCCTCCCTATCTTCCAGATGCCATCACCAATCTTCAATAAAGGTAAGTAAAAATGTTATTTTATATGTATTACTATACATAATTAAAAACTATAGTATTTGTTGTATGTAAAACTGTAATTAATCTCTATAAAATGTATTTTTTGTGTGAATATTTTTGGGTTTCTGGAATGGATTAATTGTATTTGCATTATTTCTTAGGGGAAATATTGCTTCGAATTTCAGACTTTTCGAATTTAGAACTAACTCCTGGAACGGATTAAGTTCGATTTTTGAGGTTCCACTGTAGTTGGGTGCACCTGCCAAAATCCCCTTTATATGCAGAGCATTTTGGGCAAACTTAAAATTAACTTAAGATTAATAAGGCAATAGCAGTACATACGGTCATTGGACGAGTTAAAATAAATACAAGAGAACCGAGTATTCTATTAGGTCATGCTATATGGCTTTAATAAGTATTACGAGCTTGAGGAGTGCTTTGTTATTTTTTAATTTCTACGACAAAAGTCCATACAGTAGGCAGACAGATTTCCTCCATTATTATTATAATTAGAACGGAATTTATTCTTGCTCCTGTGGATTTCTCCAACTGAAGATGAAGTCTGTTTGCCATTGTTATAATGTTATTTTTGATTTCAGATACTGATGAAAAATATAGTTTTTCTCGCATAGTCTATCCTGTTTTAAAGTTTCTTTGGTTATTTGTCTAAAGTAATTTTTGTTATTGTACATCTTATGTCTATAATTATGGTAGCTCTAGGATGTAGAACTGTAACTAGTAAATGTTATAAAAAATTTATTCTTTGAAGTACAGGTCCAAGTTTTTGTTTATATGTTGATGGTAAACATCTGTGTTTAATTGTTGTATTTTTGGCAGGTATTGGGTTTAGGTCTGCCCTGGGAAGGAGGAGATGTGAAGAACTATGCTGGAGGTGGTCAGAAAGTCCTCATGCTGAGAGAGGAGCTCGCAAAGTATAAAGATGAACCAAATACAGTCATAATGTTCACTGACAGGTGGGTGCTTGTATGTAAGAAACAGGTATTATGTTGGCTGACAGGTGGGTGCTTGCATGTAAGAAACAGCTGTTATGTTGACTGACAAGTGGGTGTTTGTACGTAAGAAACAGGTACAGTGGAACCTCAATATTCGTATATCCCTGTATTCATGCGACTCGGTATTCACCAAACTTTTTTGAGAAAAGTTTGATTTGGTATTCAGATGTTGCCCTGATGTTAGGCCTAAACAAAATGGTCCATCTGGACGAAGTCAGATGAAAAGAAAGCATCAGCTTTCATTTATTAAGCACCGTTTGTGCAAGCTCCATGAAACGTGAAACTTTTTGGTATTTCATTGTTATTATGTGATGTTCTTTAAATATTTTCATTGAAAATAAGTAATCTTGGTCCCAAAAAATGAGTAGTGATCCAAACAAGCCTAAAAGGAAGGCAGTGAGAGCAGCAGTTACAGTGAAAAAAGAGCTCATTGCGAAGTGGGAAAGTGGAACGTGTCAGACCTGGCCGCTCAATATGGTATGGCAAAATCCACCATATCATACATATTGAAAAATAGAGGCAATTAAAAGGGCTGATGTAGTGAAAGGAGTGAAAAATCTTGCTGTGAAAAGGTCACAGATAATTGAAGAAAGGGAATAACTTTTGTTAACCCTTAAACGGTCCAAACAGATCGACGTTCAAATTCGTAGTGCTACAAAAGTAGATCTACTTTTTTTTACATATTTTCAAATATAACAAAAAAAAATGTACATAAAAGTTTTTTTTACATGTTTTCAAATGTAAAACAAAAAAGATCTACATTTTTTTACATACTTTCAGATGTTGAAAAAACGTATATATACGTTTGGACCATTTAAGGGTTTATATGGATTAATGAAAAACAATTGGCTGGCAAGTGTTTCTGAAACAATTTGTGAAAAAGTAAAACAGTTATATCTTAGGCAAGACTCCCTGGGAAACAGTGCTGAAAGTGATGAATTTAAGGCAAGTAGGGGTTGGTTTGATAGGTTTATAAAGAGGAGTGGGATTCATTGTGTAGTAAGGCATGGGGAGGCTACCAGTGCTAACAGAGATGAGGCTGAAAAGTTTGTTAAGGAATTTAAAACCTATGTAGACATTAAGGGATTTATTCCTCAATTTTTTAATTGTGATGAAACTGTCCTCTTTTGGTAAAGAATGCCTAAGAGAACCTACATCACACAAGAAGAAAAATCATTACCAGGACACAAGCCCATGAAAGATTGGCTAACACTCTTGTTGTGTGGTAATACAAGTGGGGACTGCAAAATTAAACCATTACTAGTCTACCACTCTGAAAATCCAAGGGTGTTTAAGAAAAACAATGATGAAAAGTAAACTCAGTGTTGTGTGGAGAGCTAAAAGGAAAATTTGGGTGACAAGGCAGTTCTTCACTGAGTGGATACATGAAGTGTTTGTCCTAAGTGTGAAGCAGTACCTTGCAGAAGAAACGTAAGGACACTTCTGGTAATGGACAATTCTCCTGCTCACCCTCCAGGCTTGAATGAGAATTTGGTAGATGAATACAGTTTCATTAAAGTGAAGTTCTTGGCATCCCCCCCTAACACCACTTCTCTTATCCAACTCACGGACCAGCAGGTAATTTCCAATTTTAAGAAACTTAATACAAAAGCAGTGTTTAAAAGGTGCTTTGAAGTGACCTCTGAAACAACTTACCCTTAGGGAATTTTGGAAAAAAACATCTTAATATCCTTCAGTGTTTAGGGATAATGGACAAAGCCTGGGGAGAAGTTTCTTTCTGGACAATGAACTCTGCCTGGAAGAAACTGTGGCTAGACTGTGTCAGTCAGAGATTTTGAAGGATTTGAGGCAGAACCTGCAGTGAATGATATTGTTTCTCTGGGCCAGTCAATGGGTTTGGAAATGGACAATGAGGATATAGAGGGGTTGATGGAGGATCACAAGAATGAGCTCACCACAGAAGGACTTCAGGACCTGCACAGGGAGCAGCAAGAAGTGGTTGAGGAAATTTCTTGAGGAGTTGAGCAGTAAGGGGAACATTTCCACTGCAGAAATTAAAGAACTGTGTTAACATTGGGCTCAAACATAGCCTGGTGGGAAAATGGCATCCTAACATTACTGTAGTGAATAGGAACATTAACCTGTTCAATGACAGTGTTGTTGACCACTTTAGAAAAAATTTGAAAAGTCATGAAAAACAGACAATGCTGGACAGCTTCTTTTTTTTTAAAGACACAAGTCAAATGCTAGTGAATCCTCATCATCTTCATCTGCTACTGCGCAGAGACTGAAAAGAGAAAAAGCACCAGATGAGCAGTTACCTGATGTTTTTATGGAAGTTGACATCCTTTCCAAACAATAACATTGCTCCACCTTCCTCTTAGGCTATCAGCACTCTTCATTAAAGGTAAAGTGCAGTTAAATTTTCATTTATTTCATTTATTTATTGTTCTGATAGTTTTCATGCACGATTGTATTATTTTTTTAAACACATCGATCATTTCCCACTGAGGCAGGGTGATCCACAAAGAAAGAAAAACACTTTCATCATCATTCAACACTTTCACCATCACTTATACATAATCACTCTCTTTGCAGAGGCGCTCAGATACAACAGTTGAGAAGTCCCTCCAACCTGCCAATATCCCAAACCCCTCCTTTAAAGTGCAGGCATTGTACTTCCCATTTCCAGGACTCGAGTCTGGCTAACTTGTTTCCCTGAATCCCTTCACAAAATATTGCCCTGGTCACACTCCAACAGCTTGTCAGGTCACAAAAACCATTCGCCTCCATTCACTCCTATCTAACAGGCTCACACATGCTTGCTGGAAGCCCAAGCCCCTCTCCCACAAAACCTCCTTTACCCCCTCCCTCCAACCTTTTCGAGGACGACCCCTACTCCGCCTTCCTTCTCCTACAGATTTATATGCTCTCCAAGTCATTCTGCTTTGTTCCAGCCTTTCTGAATGACCAAACCACCTCAACAACCTCTCTTCAGCCCCCTGCCTAATACCTTTAGTAACTCCACACCTAATTTCCACACTCCAAATTCTCAGCATAATATTTACATCACACATTTCTCTTAGACACGACATCACCACTGCCTCCAGCTGCCTCCTCGCTGCAGCATTTACAACCCAAGCTTCATGCCCATATAAGTGTTGGTACTACTATACTTTCGTACATTCCCTTCTTTGCCTCCATGGATAACTTTTTTTTGTCTTCACAGATACTTCAACATACCACTCACATTTTTTCCTTCATCAGTTTTGTGGTTAACCTCATCCTTCATAAACCCATCCACTGACAAGTCAACTCCCAAATATCTGAAAATATTCAGTTCTTCCACAATCTCTCTCTCCAATGTGATATCTAATTTTTCTTTATCCAAATCGTTCGATACCCTAATCACCTTACTCGTATCTATGTTCACTTTCAACTTTCTACCTTTACACACCCTCCAAAACTCATCTACTAACCTTTGCAACTTTTCTTTAGAATCTCCCAAAAGCACAGTATCATCAGTAAAAAGTAACTGTGTCAACTCCCATTTTGTATTTGATTCCCCATAATTTAATCCCATCCCTTTCCCCAGCACCCTAGTATTTACTTCTTTTACATACTTATCTATAAATACATTAAACATCCATAGTGACATTACACATCCCTGTCTAAGACCTACTTTTACCGGAAAGTAATCTCCCTCTCTCTCTCTTGCTCACCCTAACCTGAGCCTCACTATCCTCATAAAATCTCTTTACAGCATTTAGTAACATACTACCTATTCCATACACTTGCAACATCAGCCACATTGCTCCCCCATCCACTCTATCATATGCCATTCCTAGATCCATAAATGCAGTGAAAACTTCCCTACCTTTATCTATATACTGTTCACATATATGCTTCAATGTAAACACTTGATCTACACATCCCTTACCCACTCAAAAGCCTCCTTGCTCATCTGCAATCCTACTCTTTGTCTTACCTCTAATTCTTTCAATAATAACCCTACCATACACTTTACTGGTATATTCAGTAAATTATTCCCCTATAATTTTTACAATCTCATTTGTCCCCTTCCCTTTATATAAAGGAGCTATACATGCTCTCTGCCAATCCCTAGGTACCTTCCCCTTCTTATTAAACAAAGATACCAAACACACTTAACACAATACCCAGCCGCTTTTAAAATTTGTCACGATCCCGTCAGTTCCTGCTACTTTACCCCCTTTCATTCTACGTAATGCCTCATGCACCTTCCCCACATTCGCATCCTGCTCTTCTTCACTCCTAAAAGATGTTATACCTCCCTGATCAGTGCATGAAATTACCGCCTCTCATCATCGACATTTAAAAGTTTCTCAAAATAGTCCCGTCATCTACCCAATACCTCCAACTCCCCATGTACTAGCTCCCCTACTGTTTTTTAACTGACAAATCCATTTGTTCCCTAGGCTTTCTTAACTTTTTCATCTCACTCCAAAATTTTTTCTTATTTTCAGCAAAATTTCTTGCCAGTGCCTCTCCCACTCTTTCATCTGCTCTCTTCACCTTTCTTTTACTCTCCATATACTCTGCTATTCTTACAACACTTCTGCTTTGTAGAAAACCCTCATAAGCTACCTTTTTCTCTTATCACACCCTTTACTTCTTCATTCCACCAATCACTCCTCTTTCCTCCTCCACCCACCCTCCTATAGCCACAAACTTCTTCCCCACATTCTAATACTGCATTTTAAAAGTATCCCAACCCTCTTCAACCCCCCCACTACTCATCTTTGCACTAGCCCACCTTTCTGCCAATAGTTGCTTATATCTCACCCTAACTTCCTCCTCCCTTAGTTTTTTCACTTTCACCTCTCTCTTACTTGCTGTTGCCATTTTCCTTTTGTCCCATCTACCTCATACTCTAACTGTAGCTACAACTAAATAATGATCTGATATATCTGTTGCCTCTCTATAAACATGTACATCCTGAAGCCTTCCATCAGCCTTTT